TGCACTCTGTAGGTGTTTTGAATGTTTTTTTGCGTCGTGAGAATATTGAGCAAAATAGCTCACTTGTCATGGTGTTATTTAACTATATCATGTTATGAATAAACTAAACATTTTGAATTTAACCCTCAGTGTGTTTCTTCTGAGTTTATGTGTGCTGTTTATGTGTGCTCATTTGTTCTGAAGTCTCGAGACAAACAGAGTGAGCCTCAGCGCGAGCTTGTATTCTGTATTCTGCTAACTTACTGTAATTCTCTCTGATGACGCAGTAACTCACCGCGGGGAAGAAAACATCTTCGGTCTGTCCAATGATTGTAAAGTCATTAGGTCCGTCAGACTGAAGATATTTTAGCGGTAATGAGACCAAAAATAATTAAGACCCATCGAATCCGAATTTAAGACATTTTAAGGCCTTATATTAGGAAAACGTTAAGACATTTTAAGACTTTTTAAGGACCCGCGGACACCCTGTGTAAACATGTTACATGTGTGAAGATGTTTTTATTTTAGTTTTCGTTTAATGTGAAGAAAATCTAATAAAATAACACAAGGACCTAAAACTATTCCAAATGATGACACGTATCAGAAATGTACTTTTAATGCAAGCCAGTAGTATAGTTTCAGAGCTCATTTTTATTCATTTGGGAGACCTTGCAAACATTGTGGTCGTGAAGACAAAATATATCTCTTTATATTTTGGCAAAAACAAAACCATTATGAATACATGACACCACACTGCTGGCAAGGTCAGAGCTTTCACATTTACAAGAAGGTTGCTTTTTTTTTTTTAAACTGAAGCAAAACGGATTCCAAAAGTGTTGATGAATTGTGAATGCTCTAACCTGCCCTCATCTATGAAGTCCACGACGAGTGTACTGAAGATGAAGAGAATGAGGAGGGCGATGAACATGTGATAGATGGTGCGAATGTGGTTCACCTCGAAGAGATCACTGCAGAAAAATAGTTTAATAAGCACTATTATTTTACAAATATCCATATGCAGTACAACCATATGTCTCTCGCCTTCCAGATTAAACACTATATCGATGAAAAACCAGCAAAATGATTTTACATTCCATAAACTGCTATAACAAACAGGTTTATTAAGGTCAGCTTATCAAAATCAAGCCATCTCTCATCTACATCTGACCACAGACAGAAACAAATCTCACACATATCAGGACAGGTTTCAGCAAGATCACCCATGACTTACTCTAACAGGGATCGACGGATCACGAACTGCTTGCTTTGGCCTTGGGGAGGTCGCGTATGCCTACAGGAGCAGAGAGGAAGATAAAAAGGGTTAGACAACAGGGGAAAAAGAAAAAGGCAAAAAGAATATGAGATAAAAGCACTACGCTGATAGACTGGCATGCTAGTCATGTGCCAAGATCACGCAATGGGAAAGAAATCACAAAAGCATTGAATTCAAGCAAATTTGAATGACAGAAAAGAGAAGAGAATGAAGTGTACTAGCCAGCTATGGCACTCATTGCAATCTGGTTTTTTCATGCTTTCAGGGTCGCCGTGATTTTGCCAAGACATGTTCCTGGATCAACATCATTTGTTGATCCTGGATCAACATAGCTGTCCAAAAATATAGACTTAACCCAATCCCTACCCCTAAACCTAACCCTACCCATAATTTATTCCTAAAAACAGTGTGAAATGATAGCTGATTAACAAGGGTGTAGAAGCACCTAACCCTGATTGTAAGCCTAAAACAGATATTTCCTGAAAAGTTATCCCTCAATTCTGATTGGTTGATAGGAATGTTGTTCCAGGATCAACAAGGATGTTGATCCAGGAACATGTTGTACTTTGTGAAATCACGGTCACCATGCTTTCAGTACCTGAGTTTGCTTTTCTCCTTATCTGAGAGAGGAAAGACTGTGCTGACATGGGAGGAAACCAGACTAGCAGATTCCTCTATCAGACTGTCCATGAATTCATTGACTTGGGTGTCGAACTGCCTCATCAGGTCTGCCTTTAAATGCTGAAAAAAAAAAACAGCAAAACAGTAAAGACACAGGTTAGCAGTCTCTAAGGTTTCCAGAAGGTCTTATGAAGCTCAACACATCATATCCACAAGATATCAGCAATTCAGCCAGAGAATCAGGTCTCATGTGATAACTCAAGCGGTCATGGTCATGCTGTTTTGACTGCAGCTGCTCTTAAAATAGACAAATGAAGATCATGCATGTCAAAGAAACTTTTTGGGATATTAAATTTCTTCGCAGACTGAACTGAAACGGAACTGATGACGCAATACATTGGAGGTCTGTAATTCAAATAAATTCTAAAGTTCAATCATATGACTACAACAAAATGTCTTTTTTAGGAAAGTGTATAGAAGATGTGTTACAAACAAGGACATCATATTTTCCCAAACCTCACTGCCCCTGGCTGACAACCACATCCTTCCCTATTCTATCTACACTTCCTGTAACGTTTACAAGCACCTACATCATGCAGTGCAAGACAATCTAAAGCACGAAACAACATTTGATCCCTAAAAACAAAGTTAAATTTTTTTTATTTATTTATTACATTTATTTACACTATTACATTTAGTAATACATTATACAATTCACATGATGACTTGAATACACAATAAGTTTTACATTTTGCAATTAAAATACATTTTGATATTTTAAATCTATTGTCATGTGGCCAACAAATCATAAAAAAGTAAATATTCTCACAAAGAATCTGTAGACAATGTCAAGATCAGTTATTTAAAAAATAAATTAATATTTTACATAAGTATAAAATGTTTTTAATTTAAATGCTAATATATTATTGTTATTATTATTATATATACTGTACACACACACACATATAGATAGATATACATACACACCTACGTATATAATATATATACATACTCTCTCTGTGTGTGTGTGTGTGTGTGTGTGTGTGTGTGTGTGTGTGTGTGTG